ACACCATAAATACCCCCCATATGAAAAACATCTAACTCTTTTCTCTCCCTGGCAGTTAGAGACAGACACCATTCATGAGTGAAGTTGGTAAAACTTTTAGAAACTAGAGACATGGTTGTTATTTTTCTAAAACCCAAGAATATATTTAATCTACTGAAATTATGAAGAAAATCGGCTGGGCAGGGGGCTATTTATACACAAAATCGGCGCAGTTTTAATCTGGGAAGGATTCGGAGTCAACGCTCATTAGCGCCAGACGCCAAACATTGGCGCTCAACGCCAGAGTCTGGCGCCAAACGCTACGTGTAGCGCCTGGCGCTACACCAAAATGCGTGGCGCCAGGTGGCGCTAACGTGTTTTAAAATATGAGCTTTCCAAAACCGCGTTTTTTTGCCTGATTCGAGTCTATCAATGACTTTACGATCTTTTTATTCTTCTTTTATATCTTTTTCAAAATTTCATTTATTTCTTCTTCTTAATTAATATAAATATTATATTAATTATATTATTTTTCGGATTTTATTTTCATTTCCAAGTTTATACAACTCCAATATTTTTTGACTTTTATTTTTCCATTTTTTTTGGGGGGGGGGAGAAAGTCAGATACCCTCAATCAATAATAAAAATGACGGAATTTTTTGCGCAAAATTAATTTTCACAATTCTTTGCACACACAAACATGCACATAAAAATAAAATAAAAAAAATGAAAAACGATGAATAAACTCATAATAGTATGTATATACAAGCATGTCTAAATAATGAGTCCAAATAAAGGCAAAGTTCTATACAAAGTCAAAATAATAAAAAGCACAAGAACAAACTACGACGCCGGGGGACGTACACCCATCATCTTATAAAACTACGCCGTACGAGGAGTAACCTCTCCACCAGCTCCATCTCCATCTCCGGTCTCCTCGGGAGGTGGAAAACTCAGCACAGGACCCGTCCACCCAAAATCAACCTGAGGTTGAGGCTGCGGAGGCTGCTGCGATGACGAGTCGATCTCGTACATCCCACCACCTCTACGAGCCGAGGTAGCCTCTCCCTGGCCTACCGGCGCAGCATGTGCACCCTCAGATGAAGAGCCTGAGCCCTCTACCGCCTCAGTAAGGGCAGCCTCAGAACGACCGCCCCGACCACCAGCACCAGTGCGGCGACGTCTCGAGCTAGATCTCGCCGGCTCCCTCAGCACCTCAGGTCTCGTACGGGTACGAGAAGGAATGGGCTGACCCTGCAAAAGATTCCAAAATCAGAAACATGCAAAATAGAAGCAGTAATGCAAAAACATAAGAAGGGAAGCTACCTCGTGGACGGCGTCGTCACGACGACATGTAGCCACATTCCTCATCCGAACTAGCTGGCTCCGAAAGGCATCTATGCATCGTGCCATCGCCGTGACCACCTTACGTGAGAACTGTCAAAGGATGTAAAGTCAGTAAACATGCATAACATATATGGACAAAAGTTGAAAATAACTAAGCTTACCCGAGTCTGGTGACGAAGGATCGACCGCTCCACGAAGCGCTCACCCTCGGGAGCCGGAGGAATCATCTCCTCAATAGGCCCGTATGTCCCCTAATAGTGGATGGACATACGAGGTGGAACAAACTCAGTAGGTCCACCCTGACAAAGCAAGTCAAAATCAGTAAAGCATTACTTGGGGGCTACTTAACGAAAGGTAAAAGCTGAAAATCATACCGCCACCTCCTCAGCCGGTACGGGGACTGGAGCTAACAACGGCAGTAGCTCCTCCTCATAGCACTGCCCAGGGATCGTGTAGGATTGCCAAGGGGTACCAGCTCCCTCTGACATGCTCACCAACCTCGCGGTGTTGAATATGTGACGCGGTGGAGAAGCAGGAACGACAAAGGTGTCCGAGGAATGCTGAATAGAAACCCTCTCTCCAAGATACGCGATCGCTCCATATGTCCCAAGAAATAGAGACGCTCAGCAGTATACTGCGCGGCTAGCCCAGGGACAGCCAAGTCGACCCACGGCCGGTACAGCGCGTCAAGCTCCTGCAAGGAACGCCTATCAGACAAGAATCTATCAAAGGTGTTACAAAATGCTCAAATATGTAAAGAACCATACCGAGATGATCCAATCCCAGACATAAGCAGTGGACATCCCAACACGGCGGCTTCCCCAGGAAGCACTCACTGGAAACCAGTGCGGCGACGGTCTCGCCGGCGCAGCTACGGGAAAGTACTCGTAGAACCAGATCTACAAAAGGAAAAAATTATCAGCAAGTGCTAACTAAATCTTATAGCTAAACTTTATAGGCGATAAAATATACCTCTACGACCCTCCAAAAGCCGGATAGAGCGACGTTCCCCGTGAAGGACCGATGTCGACACGAGTCTCGTAACGCTCGGATGAAGTCAGCATAGGCCAAGCTGGCCTAGTCATAAGTCCTGATCAAGTGTAGATCACGGACTGCAGGCAGATAGTAAAGCAGCACTCTACTACCCTTGTTAGGGGAGAACATCCCTGACAGCAAGATAATCACAAAGATGCGCACCTGCTGCTCTCGGGTAGTCGCATCATCATCAAAAGCCGCTGCTAGGGTCGAACGACGAATCCCCTTCGCGCTGAACTTAGTCGAATCCACCTCAACTCGAGCTCGAACAACAATCGGACCCAAGAGCTCCTCAACCTCAGGGGAAAATACGCTAATCTCGTCGTTGAACGGCAGCGCAATAGAGATAAACTCCAGTCCCGTAATGAGACTGAAGTTGGACGGGGTGACCATCATCTCACCCCAAGGGAAGTGGAAAGTGTTGGTGGTGTCCCAAAAGAACTCCACCAGAGCACGAACCACTTAGTGACCCCCGCTAGAGGCAATCATGGCCTCTAAGGTCTCGAAGAGCGCAGCTAATCCGCAAGACTCCCAAAGAAATCTCGCTTCTTCGTCATTGCCCATGTACACCTTGTATAGGTCGCCTAAGGTATCGCAACCTGAACCATGGCAGCGCGTCCTCCCAACTGTGATACCCCGTCTCACCCTCTCAGAAATGTGGTGGACGAGAGAGAAGTACAAAGTTCGCTCATCCCACTCAGGGAGTCGGCCGAGTGAATTGGACAGATCGGCGTCGTCCTCTACGGGCTCATGCTCCCGTCGAACGTCTCGGGACCGTGAACCTGAACCTCGCTGTCTAACCATGCTACATTGTGCAAAATTATCATAAATTAAGGTTCTATAGTATCTAAGGTTCGCCTAGCCGCATGATACTAAAAGAGAGCACAAATTCAAATTGAGCATATGCGGCATTTATCAAACAATCGAACAATTTCTTGCAATGCTATGGCAATTATTGTGACAAATTGGAAAAGAATTGCTAGCAAAAACGTCAAGAACAAGCCACATTGTCTTCCCGACCTTAAGAGGTCCAACAATGGTGATTTGTTCATTTCTTCACCAAATTGAGTCAAATAAGTCTCAAATTACTCCCAAAGCAATTTATAAACATAATCAAACAATTTCATGAGAAAAAAATCGATAAACAAAGAGAATTAAGCAATTTAAGTTTCGAATTTTCAAGAAATTTGTGAACAAATACATGCAAAATTCATTAAAACCGGGGTGAGTTTGAAGAAAACTTACATAGATCGGGAAAATGGATGGAATAAGCTTTGATTTGCAACAAATTTGAGCGAATTCGGTTGAGAAACGAGCAAGAACGAGCCAAATGAAGTTCTAAGCGATCCTCGAGCAAAACACGAGCAACAGCAGCGGAAATGAAGAAGAGAAGGGTATTTATGGAAAACTCGACTCTAGTGCCAAGCGACAGACCTTAGCGCTAGTCGATAAGGCTTAGCACCTGGCGCTAGTGCCAGTGTCTGGCGCTACAGCCAAATATGCGGCGCTAGTAATATTTTAGCGGTGCCAGACTGTCCAGCCACTTAGTGAGGTTGTTACAATCTCTTGCAATATATTTTGGGTTCCTTGGTATGCCAGTTAGCCCCTCTAAGAAATTTGACATGATTTAGTAATGGGTTTTGATTACAATTACATAAAGCGATCGACCTGGTGAATGATCGTCTCACTTAGCTTAAAGCGCCTAAGCATTGGCTCATTCAAAAGGCACCGACATACTGGTTCATTCAAAAGGCACCGACATACTAGTTCGTTCAGCGAGGCACCGACATACTGGTTCATTCAGCGAAAGGCACCGACATACAGGTTGAAAGCATCAAAAGCACCGACGTAAAGGCATAACGGAAGCAAAGTTCAAGCGAGCTTTTAAAGATCAACAAGCGTGGATCTTCGGTAATTTTTCTTCGGAATATTATCGCGACAAATGAGGATAGCTTCAAGCGAGGATATCTTCGACAGCATTCCCTAGCTTGCGGAGAGTTGTCACAAACAACTGAGGGTGATTTCAAGCGAATTTGTCTTCGATCGTGTTCCCTGGCTTGCGGAAGATGGTCACAAAATGTCACTACTACAAAAGTGACCTTAGGTAACACCAAATAGTATCACTTTGAAGGTTAGAACCTTAACTAATTTATAAGTAACACTTTTGTAACACATTAACATCACGTAACATTTAATTTTAACACTTTGAGCTTAAGTAACACTTTATTGTAACACTTTGATATTAAGTAACACTTGATTGTAACACTTTGATATTAAGTACACTTTATAGTAAAATTTCTATTGGGAATCATTTGACTATAACACTATTATAATATTAACACTTGATTGCAATTGTAAGCTTTACTTGGATAAATAAAAAATAAACCGACATACAAGGGCATCGGTTCGGTTCGAACTGGTACCCTTGTTTTTTTTTAAGAGTATTCTTGTAATTGAGTTAAGGGCACCGATTTTCCCCAAATCTTTTACTCCCTCTTTTTCATGATATAGTTCTCGTTTTCCTTTTTTGGAGATTCAAAATATTGTTTCCGGTTTCAAGATCATTTATAACCTCACTTTTTTAACTTTATTTATGAGGGATGGTGACACCTATTTTGCCCTCTTCTCCCTTGAATAATTACGAGTATCAAAGTTTAGCTATTTTGCCCTTGCCCTTATTCTTTCTTCTATTTCCAAAGTTATTTTAGGCGCATGTTTCCCTATTCATTTTCACTTTTCCTTCCATTGGCATCCCCTTTCCTTCTTTACATGGCCGACGATAGAGAAGATCAAAAGGAGGGATGAAAATATTTGAACGGTTGGAGAAGGGATGTGGTGATGGTAATTTCGCTGCTAATTCCGCTGTTTTTTATTGTCGCTTCCTCTACATTTCTTAAACGTGATGGTAATTTTCTCTCTTTATCGTGATTTAATTTCTAGGGTTTCATTTAAAATCCCCAAATTGTTTAATTATGCTCGTTTATTGATCATATGTATATTAAGAATCTCAACTTCTGAATTTTCTATAGTTTCACGTTGAATTGCTAATGTTAGTGCTGATTTTGGTAGTAATTCGCTTTATTATTGATTTTTGTAAGATTTAGGGTTCTAGATTTCAAATTTCGTTGTTAATGCTTTTGAATTTCTATTTTTGTGTGCTATTTTGGTTTTAATTTGTCTGATTATTGACATATGTTAGATTTTAAGGTTTAGGTGTTGTGAGAGTTTGAATAGTGTGATGGTTTTGCAGAATTGGATTTTGAAGGAAGTCCATCAATGGTGATTGTCGAATTAACTCTTTATCATATTACGATTAGAGTATATAAAAAAGCAAACATAGTAAGTTTTTTAAAGAGTACTTCGTATTATGTAAAAAATCCTTTGGGGGGGGGGGACTGGGAAATCGCTATGGGAAGTCATGCCTTCAACCGTTTACAAAGTCCACGGTCAAGTTAGAGTGGGGTCAAGAATTTCAATTCAAATCTGGCTACTCTGTTTGGCTGACTTCTGTCTCCATTAATAGAGTTAAGGACTTAGGGGCAAGGCTTTGTACATCTATTTCAGACCTCCTTTTAACAAGAAGCTACAATATAGATGCAGCTGTCATTGCTGTTATGTTGATCTTCTATCACAAAGATAACAAAACCAAAGCCTTATTTCCAAAAGGATGGAGTTGCCTACATGAACCAAGAGTCATTAAAGTGCAGTTGACAAAGAAAGAAGCAGTAATTGGCCAATGCTGGCTGTTTCCGATCTGTCTAATGCCCTTTCACTTGTTTTTTTCTTGTACTAGCTATGCTAATTGGACTCTAATGTGTAAGTTTCTACAACAAGCGACACAAGCTAATTGAAATTCCTCCCTTATTGGTGTATGTTCTTTGCAACTCTAAAGGTACTGATTTTCATTACTTTGGATGATGTTGAAGTAGTGTAATGTGGGAAAATTGTAATTTATGTGATAATTTTTTTGTTTATTTATAAATGCTTTTGGGGCTGTCATATTCAAATTTATTTTTTAGATATGATTAAATTTTCTGCAATCTGATTCTTTTCTAGGAGCAAAATTGGAAAATTGGGGAATATTATTATCTTGGTTACAAGTGGTGTGAAGTTGCATAGTCTTTTTAGGTTTGATTCGTGATTAGATGATTATTGGGATGGTATAAGATTTTATTATTTTTTAAATTATGCTTTTCGGTTTCAGAGTTTAGTTTTTCTAAAAAGAGCTCCCTTTTTAATAAAGCTTTAGTTCATGATCTGGCTGAAGTGGTTTCATTTCAACCATTGTGATCTTTCTGCAGTGTTTTGTTTACGGAATGGATTGAGTTGAAGTCAAGTAATAACCCTTCTTATTCTGATTCTTTCTATTTATTTGCATTCATAGTTATCAATTACTATATCTGTTCGCTGGTTGGCAGCATCAATGTGTTGAAACTGGAGTGTGTGTGAACTTAAAAAGTTTTGACTTTGTCATTCATTCTGAAATTTGAAGTTGTGTATATATGTTGAGTTTTAATGAAATTTGGTAGACATAGAATTATTTAGTTTTTGATGATTAGTATATATTGCTAATTTTTAGTCTATTTATCATTTTGGAAGTGAGTAATATATTATCAACTATGTAGTTATTTTTTTTATTAGTTTAATTATGAAGTAATCTAATTGTGTCGGTGATAGGTTTTTATTGACACAACTCGATAAGAAGCCCAAGGATACCATAAAGAGTGCTTTCCGAATGAAGATAATCTAAGATTTGTAAAACAAAAAAAAATGAAAAGAGAAGATTACTTGATGTGATCAACTTAAATGTAATTACATCAGTTGTACTTATAGTTTAGTTTAAATATATCATGTTTCTTGAATTGAAATTTTTGATTTGTATCAGGGTCATGACAACCAAGTTTTTCACCAAAGTTTCATTTGACTTGTCCCTTTTCGGAAGAATATCAGAAAATTACTGTGAATCGAGTGCTCAAAGCTGCTCGAACATCGAGCTCTCTCAACTTATCAAATCACTCTTTGAGGTAATTTGTTTTTTCAAATTTATCAAATTCACAAACCCTTGAATTCTTATTCATTTCCAAATTTTATAGATTAAATCTCTATAAAATAATGAAGTTCATTTTTCTTCCTTATCTTATTGGTGGTTGCCTGGTTGGTATAACACTTGTAATCCTAGAAGAGAGTTGGAGAGAAAGTGAGTGATTTAGGAAATGAGGGAGGGTATTATACTATGATTTATGCCAGATTGTAACTCAGATTGTATTTCAAAAAATTAATTGTTAAAAAATCATGTAATACTTTAAATGATTTTCATGAATCCATATTTCAGGTTGTCTAATATATGATGATTTCTCACACATTACATAGGATCAAATGGATCAAGATGAAGGATTAGAGTAGCAAGTAATGAAGCCACAAGCCCAAAAGAACCATGTGTGCACATATGTAGCTGCCAATGCTTTGGGAGATACATAATATATATAAGACCAACTTAGATAAACATTTTTTTCCCGCGATTGAAAATTGGAGTCCTCCGGTAGTACTGTTGCTCGCTGTTGTCACTATTACGTTGAATGTTGCTGCTGTAACTGTTGTTACTGCTGTCTACTGCTATTTGTTACTGCCAGCTCCTGACAGTTGCTGTTGTCTGGAGTCACTACTGCTCTATGTTACTGTTATTTTGCTATTTTTGTTTTGGAATTTGGTGGTCTAGTAATCGAAGTTGAATTTTTTTGTTAGGATTATTAGATTGTTTAGCCAAAAAAAACAAATGGTGTTTATGAATTTTTTTTTAAAGGAAATATGATATTATATCAATTCAAAATATTGTTTATCATATATGTTAATTTTACATTTGTGGTTGTTGTACATGTTAATATTATTTTATATTAAAAAAAAAATTAAAAAGTTGCCTATTTTAAATAATCAGTGTTAGTAGTTGTAGAAGTAAATACTACCTCCGTTACATATTATTTGCAAAGATTAGACATTTTTTCCCTCTACTTTATGTCAAATCGTTGCAAATAATATGTAACGAAGGTAGTAATAATAAATGTTACCTATTATTTAACAAGGTGTTACGTTAATTTATAAAAAGTGATACATAATGTCAAATGTAGTGATACTATACATCAAAGAGAGATTAAAAAATGTTACCTAATAATAAAAAAAAAAAGGTGTTATATTAGTTCTCAAAAGTGATACATAATGTTTGATAAAGTGTTACTATATGATTGAAAAATGTTACTAAAGACAAGTAAGTGATACATATGAAATAAAAAGTAACACTTTAAAAATGATACTTATAATATAAAAAAGTGTTACATAACAAGGTTTATAGTAACACTTTCAAAAGTGTTACCATACACTACTAAAGTGATACATAAGACATTAGGTAACATGGGCGGATGTATCACCCACTAAAGTGTTACCTATTGTCTATAATAACACTTTTAACACTTTACGTAACATTTTTTGGGTGTTACATAAAGTTAATTATGTACTAGTGTGTTAGAAGGTCATTTCAAGCGAAGCAATCTTTGATGGGGCTCTCTGAAGTCTATCATAGCAGAATTGGAGGCAGTTACAAGCGTAGCAGTCTTCAGGCGGCATTCTCTAGCTTGCAGGAGGTCGTCAAAACAAACAGCGGGATGGCATTCTCTAGCTTGTAGGAGGTCGTCAAAAATACAGAAATACAACAATGCAGCAACAAATCGGTTATTTCCAGATACGTGTGCTCGACGGTGCAAGATACGAGTTTCTTAACTCTCTTATCTGTTTAACTAACGCTAGTTTGCAGGTATCGGCGTTGCAAGAATGATTTAGGATCGCATAACGTTCTGAATCATTCTCCGTCCCTATCGACATTTTGACTTTTGTTTTCGAAACTTGTGTTTCTCCAAACTCAGTCAAAGTGGGGGCTTCTGTAGACACTCATTTGTGTCTCCCCAAAACCAAACCTGGTGATGAGTACCTTTCACGTCGAATCATAATCGAATGAAGTGAAAGTGTGGAAAGACTAGTGTTGCGGATAGTTTTAATTTCTTTTCTCTTCTCTCCATTTTTGAAAGCCTATTTTAAGAAAACAGCCGATCTAGTTTGGTTGGTCCATGATATGGGTCCAATAATGGTGTAGTTGGATAGGGCTTGAAAAGAGCTTTCCAACGATATATTATAAGCTCAATTCCGATAAAAATTGAGGAAATTATGGCCAAATTACTAAACTGGACCCGGTTTGAGCCTTATATGCGACCCAATGATCTAGAGGATGGCCTAATCTGGATTTATCATTCCTAATGCAATTAGAAATGGTTTTAGTCTTCTAGATTTTTCTAGAAGGTTCTTTTCATTCCTAATTCAATTAGCGTTGATAAATTGACTTTTTGTTGACTTTTAGAATTTTAATCAGAATAAAAGAGTGTCTTTGAGGAAAATACGATTTTATCCTCCTGTACGGTTAAATTTTATCTGATTTAAGAAAACGCGTAAAAAAACTGGTTAGTGCCTAACGCCAGCATTAGCGGCTTAGCGCTTGGCACTAAGCTTGGCGCCTGGCGCTAGCTTTAGCATCTGGCGCTAACTCTGTTTTTTCACGTCGAAACTCTGGTTCGATTTTCTATCTTTTTGGCTGATTTTCTCTATAAATAGCCTCCTAAAAACTCCGTTTTGGATCATCTATAATCATCAACTCCTTAGTTTTCTAATTCTCTTCTCTCTCAAAGCTAGAAGCTTTCTTTTTCTCTCTTTTCTAAACCACCCTTTACACAAAATTCCGCATTCACAAGACTTAGGAACACCTAGCATAGTTCGAAGTTGGCTTCGCCCTGGACGTGAAAGGTTTTAATTTCTGAGGGTTTGGTCCCAAATCTCTCTTTCAATTATTTAATTTAATTGTTTATTTTATATTTTCCTTGAAGTTACTAACGCGTGTATTTTGTTATTAGAAAGAGGTACAAGGCATCCAAGTAAGTGCTTTAATTGTTTACATTGATATTATGATGTAGAAATCATGTCTAGGTTGTTATTATGATTCCTAGTGTTATGTTAAGGTGTTTTGATCTTCCTAATATCATGTCTTGGGTAACTTTAATATCAAGTATGATTAAAAGTATGATGCCTTTTATTTTCTTTCCATATCATGTTAGTATCATGTTAGGGTTAAAGATTTGATTTTTATTGCTTAGTGGCATGCTAGTGTTTGTTATTAATCTTGTTAGTATCATGCCTAGGATCTTGCTATTATTATGCTTTATTTTTAACATGAACATGATTATGAATATTATTATTATTTATGATTATTATTGTTGTTGCTTGATATTGTTATTGCTTGATCATGCCTTTTATGCATGTTTAAAGGGAATTGGTATTTGTAATCACGCTTAATAAGATAATTAATAATCTTGTTTAGGGTTAATTTGATTATAATTCAAGTGATCGCCAATAATAGATTTATTTGTGCATTAATATTCAACGAACATAGATAAACAGGTTTAGGGTTAATCCTATTGATTGTATGTTAGTCAGAAAGCGCACATGAATACGATCAGAATAAAGTAGAGGCCTATTATTAAGGCAGGTTCAATCTCTTTTAGGTTGGATTTGTACATTCATCCCCGAACTACCAGTCATGGTTCCAGACCTATTGGAGTTGACGATCTCCTGGATCGTTAAGGGGTGTAACCTTCACCTCGTGAACGGTTTACAAGTTCCTAAAACTTGTTGGCGACTCTTTTGCTCTATCTTCTTTCCCTTTGGACGCTACTACTTTAGTGTATGATCACAGTTGGGTTCAAGCTAGGGGTAATGCTTGAAATATTCCCTATAGTTCCAGATCTATTGGAGTTGACGATCTCCAGGATTGTTAAGGGGTGTAACCTTCACCTTGTGAACGGTTTACAAGTTCCTAAAACTTGTTGGCGACTCTTTTGCTCTATCTTCTTTCCCTTTGGACGCCACCGTACTTTAGTGTATGATCAAAGTGGGGTTCGAGCTAGGGATAATGCTTGAAATATTCCCTACAATTCCAAAATATTCCAACTGTCAAAATTATAGAGGTTTGCTAAAAATTCCAAAAACTAGTTGTTACACCAACTTAGCAGTATAAAAAGGAGCTTCTTCTTCCATCATTTGTGTAGTAGCCTGAAAAAAAAATAAAAAAATTAAAAAAATCACAATGTTAGTATGTTACTGCAACCGCGTTATTGTAAATAGAGTTTCAAGAACTAATAAAAATCTTTTTAGAAGGTTTATTACATGTAGATATTATCTCCATAATGGGTGTGATTTTTGGGAATGAATTGATGATGATCAAGCGTGGGAGATAAAATATGAAATGATCAACATGATTAAAAGAAATGAAGAAATTGAAGATTTAAATTTGCAGAACAAGAAAAAATTATCGTTTTATAGAGATGTAATATTATGGTTGCTTTTGATTATTTTTTTGATATTTGCGTGTAAATGAGTTAGATTTTATTTGTAATGACAATTGAAGTGAATGAATTGAATGAAACGTACCTCATTGATCTATTGTTAAATCTATCAGATTTGAGTGAGGAGTTGATAATGCCTGATTTTGGTTGATGCATTTTTGAAATGATAAAATGATTTTAATGTGTATAAACAAGTGCACATGAGCAAATTTGTTTAAATAAAAACACGAGTAAGTGTATACTTACCACTGCCTGCCTATTGTACCCATTAGGATAAGTGTAAACTCCCACACCTATGTTGTGTATAAGGAGATGTACTTGACTGTTGCTGTCAGGCGCAATGTTTCCCTTTCCCCTTTCCTTTAGCTGCTTGTGTCGACTTCTGCTTTTTTGGGGCCTAATGTTTCCCTGATTCAGTAGAGTCACCCACCTGTGATGATTTAGGTGGATTTGAAGACTTAGGCACAAGTTTTTCTGTCAATGGCAGTGGGCATTTTCTTTTGTTATGATCAGCTTCTCCACAGTTTAGTACATTTGTATAACTCCCCCTTCTTTGACTACTTGCAGCCTTCTACCTCACCCAAAGATGGCTTTCTCTTTGTAGTTGTCCTATTTTGGAGTTTCTTGACCATTGGGGCTTGTATTGGAGCATAAGGGGACTTTGGCCATTCTTGGGGCCATTTAAAGGCTCAAGTGGGAACTTATAAGCCTTTAAGTATTTCTCCTTAGCGAACCAAGTTGATACATAATGTTTTGGGTGCTCATAGGTTTCCAAATTGCTACAACAACATGATTACCCTTGTGTTGCAAAGAGTGACCAAGACTATTACACTTATGGATAGGGTTACTAAGATTGGTGATCCCCACTGTGAGTTATTGTTACTTAGTGTGTACTGGAATTTCCAAACTCTACTTTGCTTTACGTACATGTACTCCTGATATTTTTGAGGCGGCTCAACGCACATTTTATGGGGCTCTTCGGTCTTCATTGGAGTGTATTGTTACTGCTTCTAAGCCAGGATTTGGTGACTGGAAGTGGCGTCTTTCCATCTTACCCTTTGCATTTGGAGGGCTTGGTGTTTATTTTGCAAGAGATGTTCACTATTATGCTTTTCTCGCTTCTCGTTTGCAGTCTACTAGCTTGCAGACTCAACTTCTATGACATGCTAGTATTGTCGGTTCTGATTGGGGCCTTTGATGATGCGGTGAGTCAATTAAATAGAATTGTGGAGTCTGAAATTTTAAGTAACCTTAGTGAGGTCGCTGCCCTAAACTTATGAAGAAATTGGCGGATATATATTTCATACAGAATCCACTTTTTTTTCTCCACGCCAGTTAGTTTTGTAGAAGTCTTAGCAGGGAGAACACACCTCGCTTGGTTTCGGGGTGGTCCCTATTTCTGCTG